AACCTCCTGACATGTTGAAGTTAGTGCTTCTGAGATACATTTCCAATTATCCTCCATCGCAGTTTCTTTTTCTTTGAGTAGATCTTTTAGGGCTTGGAACCCGTTGTTGAAAGTTATTTTGAATTCGTTGAGTTTAACAATACGTCGAAGGAAGGCTGTATTGAACCTTTGTAATGCTGTTTGTCCAATGCTTCTTTAGCTTCAGTTTCATCTTGGCCACAATTAAGTTGTGATTTGAAGCTATACCAGCTTCGCCCCTGGTTCTAACGTCTTCCATTGTCCTTCGGAAATTTTTATTGATACAAATATGATCTATCTGGTTCTCCATGGTGTGATCCGGTGAGACCCATAAAGCATTGTTTATGCGTTTGCGTGGCAATACTGTGCCGCCTAAAACCAATTTGTTGAATGCACTTAGGTTTGTAAATATCTCTCCATTTTTGTTTCCTTCTCTCAATCGGCCCATGTCATCCCATGATATCTTCATAACCGTTATTTTCCATCCCGGCTTTGGCGTTTAGATGTCCTACCGGAATGGTGAGATCCCTTCTTGGGCACTTCACTATGACTGATTGCAGCCTCCCATAAAACTTATATTTATTATCTTCGTCGCTATCATTTGTGAGTGCATAACATTCATTTTGATTCCCTCCTTCTTTGTTTTGAAGGATGCTTTGGTGATCCTGGATCCATGAAATTCCCATCCAATAAGTGCATTTCATGCTTCTTTGGACAGCATCAGAGCATTTCCCTGAGTGTGCAGAGCAATTTCTTATTCGTGTCCAGAGTACAGAATCATCTCTTCGCTGTCTAGATTAGATCCAATGGGTTTTGCTTATTCGGAGCACTACCAAGTTGTATCTTCTCATTTCCGTTGCTATTTAACTGGTCCTTCTGGTTTCCCACATTGTCCGGACGTTCCATTTACCTATAAAAATTGTTTCTCTAATTGCTAGAAGTGGCATCGGTCTCGTGACTTTCGAAAAACCTCGGCTTTCATCATGAGGCATTCCTTTGGGGAGGTAGATGGTCTCTGTTCCCTTCATTCGTATTTACTACCATCTACAAACACTTATGCTTTACATGCATATCACTGGTACACAAGCTTACATACTTACTTACGCCTGTTACTCCTCGTGAAGGAGCATAGGCCACTCACCAGCATTCTCCATCCAACCCTGTCCTGGGCAATCCTTTCCAGTTGCTATTCAATCTTTTCATGTCTGTTTCCAATTCTCAACTCTGAGCATTTTTGATCTTCCTCTTTTCTGTTTCCCTTCAGGACTCCAAGTTAGGGCTTGCCTCAACATGCAGTTTGATGATTTCTTCAATATATGTCCTATCCACATCAAATGTCTTTTTCTAATTTCCTCTTCAACTAGAAGCTGGTTTGTTCTCTCTCACAGTAGGCTGTTTCTGATGGTATCCGGCCAACGGACATTGAATATCTTGCGTAGACAACTGTATATAAATCCTTGTACTTTATTGATGATGGTTGTAGTAGTTCTCCAATTTTCAACTCGGTACGGTAGGACTGTCTGCATCTGAACCTCCTTGTTCATCGATGATGCTTCCTAGGTATGTGAAGGACTCTACATCTTCCAGAGTTTCGCCATCAAGAGTGATTGGATTGCTGTTCTCCGTTTGAATTTGAGGACCTTGGTTTTCCCTTTGTGTATGCTGAGGCCTACTGATGCAGAGACTGCTGCTACACTGGCTGTCTTCATCTGCATCTGTTCGTGTGTACGTGATAGGAGGGCTAGGTCGTCTGCGAAGTCCAAATCGTCTAATTGATTCTGAGCTGTCCATTGTATTCCGTGTTTTCCTTCAGATGTCGAGGTCTTCATAATCCAGTCGACCACCAGAAGAAAGAGGAAGGGAGAGAGTAAACAGCCTTGTCTGACTCCAGTCCTTACTTGGAATGCATCTGTCAGCTGTCCTCCATGCACTACTTTGCACTGTAGTCCGTCGTATGAGTTCCGGATAATGTTGACAATCTTCTCAGGAACTCCGTAGTGTCGAAGAAGTTTCCATAATGTCCTCCTATCTACACTGTCGAATGCCTTTTCATAATCAATGAAGTTGATGTATAGTGATGAGTTCCACTCAACTGATTGTTCGACGATGATCCGTAGTGTTGCAATTTGGTCTGTGCACGACCGATCCTTACGGAATCCAGCTTGTTGATCTCGAAGTTGGGCGTCTACTGCATCCTTCATCCGGTTCAGCAACACTCTGTTGAAGACTTTCCCTGGTATTGACAGTAGTGTAATGCCTCTGTAGTTTTCACATTTGCTCAGATCTCCTTTCTTTGGAATCTTGACGAGGTGTCCTTCTTTCCAGTCCATCGGCACTTGTTCCTCCTCCCAAATCTTTTTGAATAGAAGGTATAGCATGCTTGTGGTTGCTTCGATGTCTGATTTCAGTGCTTCAGCTGGTATGTTGTCGGGTCCTGCTGCTTTCCCGTTCTTGATTTGTCTGACGGCCATTCTAATTTCTTCCGTCGTTGGTGGGTTGACATCTATAGGAAGATCTATGTGTGCTGCTTCGATGTCCGGTGGATTCATTGGAGCCGGCCTATTCAGGAGTTCCTCGAAGTATTCTACCCATCTGTTACGCTGTTGTTGAATTTCGGTGATTGGCTTGCCTTCTTTGTCTTTGACCGGCCTCTCTGGTTTACTGTATTTCCCTGCTAGTTTCTTCGTTGTATCGTAAAGCTGTTTCATATTTCCTTCTCTAGCAGCTTTTTCTGCCGTCGTTGCTAGTTCTTCCACGTATTTCTTCTTGTCGGCTCTAATGCTCCTCTTCACTTGTTTGTTTGCTTCTATGTATTCAGCTTGTGCTTGGACTTTCTCTGCTCGTGTTCGGCTGTTGTTAATTGCTGCCTTCTTGTTCTTCCTTTCTTTGATCTTGTCCAGTGTTTCTATAGAGATCCATTCCTTATGATGGTGTTTCTTTAGGCCCAGAACCTCTTGACACGTTGAAGTTAATGCTTCCTTGATGCCTTTCCAGTTGTCCTCCATAGTAGTTTCTTCTTCTTCAGTAGATCTTGTAAGGCTTGGAACCTGTTGTTGAGAGCTATCTTGAATTCATTGAGTTTGTCAGTATCTCGAAGGAAGGCTGTATTGAACCTTTGTAGTGCTGTTTGTCCACTTGTCCAGTTCTTTTTTAGCTTCAGTTTTAAATTGGCTACAACTAGGTGGTGATCTGAAGCTACGTCAGCACCTCTCCTGGTTCTCACATCTTCCATTGTCCTTCGGAATTTTTTGTTGATGCAAATATGATCTATTTGGTTCTCTGTAGTGTGGAAATATTGTGCCTCCTATGACCAATTTGTTGAATGCACACAAACTTGCAAATCTTTCTCCATTTTCGTTTCTCTGTCCCAGTCCATGTCGTCCCATAATATCTCCATATCCAGTGTTGTCTATTCCGACTTTGGCATTTAGATCTCCCATCAGAATAGTTAGGTCCTTTCTTGGGCATTTCTCAATGATTGACTGCAGCCGCTCGTAGAACTGACCTTTAATGTCGTCGTTGCTATCATTGGTGGGTCCATAACATTGGATAATATTCATTGTGATCCCCTCCTTCTTTGTTTTGAATGATGCTTTGATGATTCTGGATCCGTGAGACTCCCATCCTACAAGTGCATTTCGTGCTACTTTGGACAGCATAAGAGCGACTCCCTGAGTGTGTGGAGCATTGTCCTCCTCGTGACCGGAGTATAGCAGCATCTCTCCCGTAGCTAGCCTTTTCTGTCCAGCTTGGGTCCAGTGGGTTTCGCTGATTCCCAGTACTGCTAAGTTGTATCTCCTCATTTCCATTGCTATTTGACTGGTCTTCCCGGTTTCCCACATTGTTCGAACGTTCCATGTACCTATAAAAATTTTTGCTCTGGTTGTTAGAAGGGGCATCGGCCTCGTGGCTTCCGAAGGAACTCGGCTTTCACCATGAAGCGTCATAATTCTTCTAACTGAAGACCTTCTAACTCCCAGGGCAGAGTTTAAATGGTTTGAATAATTTTTTCTGGTAAGCGTTTTTTTAGCGAGTTAGTTTTCTACGGGATGGGGACGCTAACCCCATGCCCAACCCTCCTCCTTTACCCGGGCTTGGGACCGGCAGTAACCCTATTAGAGCTACAGGCAGAGTTGGTACACAAGCTTGCGCTCATGTATTTCATAGCAAACATATGGACATAAACACTCTTATGAGAGGATAGATTATCACTGCTCGCTTCAATTTTGTTTCATACCCATCATTTTTTTGTTTTATCCCGGTAATTTACTTAACATTATACATGTTTTGTTAATTGGATAGTTATTAACTGAATCATAAGAATTTCGTCATGTTTTTGCATAACGGAAATAGTATAAATTTAGAAAAGTAGGGAACCCATGGGAGTTTTGTTCATAGATGACTATTAATCATCTGCAGAACATTAAATCATTCAACTTTAGGAATATAAAAACTGCTAAAAATCCTTTGTCCAAGCAGTAAATCTTTCATCATAGACGATAGACATTTATTGTTAGATGGTTGAAGGTGATCGGTAGTAACCCCTTACAAGAAAGTTCGCTACGTCACGAGTAACTCCATTGGGAATATCTATAATAATAACAATGATTGATGTATATGAGATTCTCTTGAAGAGCACCAAAGTACTCTCGAATTTGTAGACATACCCTATTTGTGCTAACAAGTAACATAACCAACACGAAACGCAGATCAAGGGAGAAGTTCCTACCACTTACCGCTAATCATCATCTGATGTAATAAATCCAATGTCAAACCACTTAAACGAATGGCCTGGATTGAAACTTGATCGATTAGATTCTATCATCTCTAAAGACTAATCCAAAGATGAAAATGATTAATATGCAGTGATTGATCAATCAGAGTACAACTATGTGTTTCCTTTATTATTAACACATTTCCTTAATTATTTTCTTTGAATAATGAAATCGAAAGAACAAAACAGACAAGAACAAATAACTCACTTTCCATGTAGCTTCATTTTGTCGAAAATAAGCAAATTCACGTTGTAACCATACGTAAATTGCACTTAATGATAATTGTTGTCCCGGTGATTCTAATATTGCTTGACGTATTAAATTAGCATAAGTGAATCTGGGACGTGCACAATGTGATCGATAGTATTGTCTTTGAGCTAATGATGTATTATTATTATTATTGTTTGCAGTTGAAGAGGTACCATTTGTACTTGACGTGGCTGTCGTCTTTGTTGTCTGTGATGTTGTTGTAGTTGGTATTGTTGTGACAGCTGCAGTGGTCATCACTGATGTCAAAGATGAAGTTCCTGTTGATGATGATACTACTGCCGGTACTACGATTACTGCGGATGACAACGATGTTTGTTGTTGTGACGATGATGATGTGTATGCAAGATTTTCACATGTCATCACTAATGAATTTTCAGAATCCATAGCTTCTGGTATATTACAGTGAACTTTAAGGTGGAGGGCGGAAAATACAAAAAAAACAAATCAATAAAGGTTTTAACTGAAGCATAAATACAAACTGATAAGTATTCACACGTTAGTAGGAATAGGTCAGTTAGTCGTAGCTAGAAGCAGAGTAGAACCTAGTGTGGTTCAATTTAAATCATTATACTATATCAGCTCAGAGTGATGAACTTATCAAGGAAAAAGATTCAATAACAGAAACACACTAGAAATAGACAAGATGATTCACGAGGAAATAAGAAATTCGTGGGCTAATCATGTATAAGACAATTTTAGAACTCAGGATCTAAGTAAGAAAACAAATTGGAGATGAATCTGCACTATTGTGGTCGATTCTGAACTATGGTTATTCAACATCTTTAACCATTGGTTACGATAATCGAATGAATCCTAACCGATTAGTTTGCATCCATAGAAGTGGATCAGTTCAACAGTCAATGATCATTTCATGGAAAAATGCCGTGTTTAGGTGAAGTCCTCTTTAATTTTTTCCCAACACATCATCCCTATTATTTTCATTGATTTATCAATTAGGAAGTTAAATAAGTACATGGTTAGGATAAAAAGGTTTCATCAGTAGTGCTTTTTCTTCAACGATAGACATTTTCGGAGTATTGAAGATACTCAAACTCCTAGACAACAATTTATTTTCTGGTTATTTTCGTGTGTGATAAATCATCATTCTTCTGACATTTAAAATATGCAATATCTAGCATTTAGAACATTTTTCCGGCTATTTAGTGAGTGAGTGCTGATTATTAGTGCATGATTTTCACTGACGACTTCTTTTTATTTATCTGAAGTTATCCACATATGTCTTCTTGAGTATACGCTCTAGAGCATCCCAACATTGCCTTAAGAAAGAACAGATGAAGGGAAACTTAGAGCCTGAAATGAAAACCTCAGAGAAAATTATGCTGTTACATGCATTACTCAGTAAATAGATGGAAAAATGCCTCAAACTGCTTGATATTGTACACATATTAAGTATTGTAAAACAACTGAGCTACAAATTCATGAACACATATCCTATTCTGCTATTTTACTTTCTATAATATAAATCTAAATTTCTAATTCTTCATCTTTAATATCTCCCTGAGAACCAAATTTCGATTTGACCATAGTTAAAGGCTTTTTTCTTAGCGATCAGTTGTTATTTTAGTGTGCTAAGTTTTCTGCACTATTTGTAAAGTCGTTGTACATGTGTTTATGCGCATATATGCTGCTTTCTTGGAACAGAATCACACTTGATGGTGAAGCTCTGAAAGAGGTAGAAGCCTATGCATACCGAGGCAGTACCATTAATAAACAAGGTGGATCCAATGCAGATGCGAAGGCTTGAGTCCTCAAAGTGAGGACAGCATTCATACAAATGAAGAATATTAGGAGCTCAAAACAATTGTCAAACAACACCAAAGTCAGAATTTTCAACATGAGTGTCAAAACAGTTGTTCTACGGAGGTGAGAATTCAAGAACTGCTACAACCATCATTAAGTAAATACGAGTATTTATAAAGAACTGTCTACTCAAGATACTGCAGACCCATTGTCAAGTGACCATCAACAATAATTGACTGTGACAGAGAACAAACTAGTTGAACAGAAATTCTAAGGAAAGATGCTGAGGCTGGATAATTCACACTTTGCAGAAATAATCAAACTGTACCACATAGCAAGCCGTAACTTGAGGTTGTCAAGGTAAGAGGAAAAGACGCAGATCAGAGGACACGTTGCACCAGGAATTTAAGGCAAACATAAAAAAGATGAATAGCACTTAGAGATCCCAGGAAAAGTTAGTGTCAGATTCCAGCCTTATTCTCTAATGAAGGGCAATTAGCTGAAGTATATAAGTTGTTTGCTTTGATCAGTCTTTGCTGATCTTTAACCAAATATGTCTCACTTATCTTTTGGAGTAATCGGGGATGGGAGTGCAAAGGAAATTCTGATAGTATCAAAGAGTCGGTTGACTGGTAAACTGACTAGAATATATATGACACACTGCGCTGTCAGCTGTACAAAAAACATTATAAACTATTTAAGAATGTGCAAATCATGTAAATAGTTCCCAAAGTTGAAGAGTTTATTTTACTTTATTTCAACAATTTCAGCTTTACGATTAATAGAATGCTGTCATCAGTTCGTGATTTAAACTATGGGAACTTTACGATCCCTACAAATTCCCCTTCTCTATACAAATAATGATCATGTCCACACCAGTTACTAGCTTTAAGATGAAACTTCTGGAGTTTTAGTGCGAAGCTATGAACATTAGAGTTCAACCTTTTCAGAAATGAGGCAGACAATGGGAGTTTAAAGTTAGGTATGCACACTAATGGATGACGGTTCAGTAGTCTAGAAGTTAGGCACTAGAACACGAGAATGAAGACTCTGAATTCGATTCCCGGATATATGGTCGCGGATGAGTAATGCTAAGAAACCTCTTATTACGACAGAACGGTTGCCTAGCGCTTCAAATGGTAGTGGTCTAGCTATGATTATTTCGTGATTCAATTTATGATCATTGCCAAATGTTTCAAAGAAGATATCAGGAAAACATGGATCTATGGGTTTTCTGGTTTATCTACACTCTGTGGTATATAGTTTGTCTAATTAAAAGATATAATGTGTTTGCTGATCGGCAGACTGATATACTTCTGCATATGACTTTGATTTTTATTGATAGTCATTCAGACCGTTGATTAATTTATATGATCAACTTTTGATTCTTCGAATCAATCATGTTGCAAATTAGATTTAACATAGCTCAATAACTAACAAAAAATTCGTATACATAAGAAATTGATTAAAATATATGAGTGGGTTGTAAGTTGTTAATCATAAATATCTTCGAAGAGTTCCTCGATCATCGTGGAACGACCAAACAAAACAATGTTGAGGTTTAAAGTAGATTGTGAAGCAAAAATGGCAAGTCAATTAATGAGATTGTGAATTTACACCAATTGAAGCAGTTGAGACAATGTGTTACATTTAGCTAACCACCGTCCACTTTGGAGATGATGTTATTGAGTGTAGTAGTAAATTGGAATAAAACTAGGGTTGGTCAAACCAAAACTTAGCATCATTCCATGAAGGCATTAACTGTTAGTCTAAGGTTATAAATAGATACTAGTCTAATATAAATAACAGTTAGTTAATTAGTCCCCAGTAGCATTATACTTCAATTCAATACAATCAGAGAGCAAACTTTAAAAGAAAAAGAAAACCAAATTAGTGGAAAATTAAATTAAAAATAAAAAATGAAAACCTGAACATGTTACAACTATAGTTTAAATGAAGCAAGCGAAATTTCAGAATAGAAGATTAAGAACTATATTTAACTGAAGATAAATGTATAAGTGGCACTGTGTAACCTAGTCTGGTCTAGATCACGTTTCCTTAACTGAATTCAAAAGTCATAAATAAAAAGATTATCACATGGCCCCTTTTTTTTAGAAAGTTTGCATTTGCTAACACGAATTAGACACAGTCAGTAACTTCATAGATGAACACCATATTTTGACATTCTGGTCTCGTTTCTTTTAATCTAATTCTATCACAGATAGTATTGTACAATAGGTTCACAATGATAAGAAGAAAAACAATACGGTTTGAAATGATAGATTGGAAAAGTATGTATGAAGAGATAATGAAATTCACAATCGACAAAAGGCGGTCTACTTGAATATCTGGGCTACTTGTTCCTATCATCTAAATACTTCAACAGGTTATCTGCTTTTTGTTTGTTTTAACACATTATGTCTATTCATCGCATAATCTACTCAGGCGCATTTATGAATAGTTTATGAACTTTCGCTGTACAACTTACAAAATAATACAATCAGAGACATCGTGGTAGCTGGCAATATTCATTGAAAAGAATAAACATTATTCATATGTCTTTTCCTGAGCTGCTAACATCAAACTGACGATCACTAATTGGCAGAGTGAACTGTAATCAATTTCTACTAAGTCTAAACATATCGCATAACTGTAGTGTAATCACAACTTAAGAATCCTTGTCAAATGATTCACAAGGCGACTTCTCATTGTTATTACAAGATTTCAATATTTATCGTCGGGATCGATCAAGTAATAAGAAAAGGATACTTGTTGAAATACTTTAGGCTAAAGATTCTATATTGTACTAAAAATATATTGAATAATAATAATGATAATAATAATAATAATAATAAAAGTCTTGCTTAAATTCTCTTCCTAGCCGGTTCGCATTATCCCCAATTTGTTTTACTCGTCAACTAAAACACTAAAGAGAAGACGCGAATTGCAAGTAAAAACTTTACTTCATAATTCATCTATGTACGGAAAAACGAAGATATCTATAGAGTTATACACTTCTTTTGAACTTCTGTAAATTCCTGAAACCATATTAAATATGGTTATTGTTGTGGACGAGAACACAGGTGGGGACACCCAATGTGCTAAAGATTCCTTTGACCAAATGTGAAAACCGTACGTTCAGTACTTTACTTGCAAATCCTCCGCCAATTGTCTCAAACGTCATCGTTACTTCACTGCCATAACGATTGCTCTCTGTTCCCATTCTCTTGTATTCGATCATCCCAACCTTCTGTTGTCATGTTTTCCACATTCGATTGGTCCTATATACTACTTATGTCTGTCAACATAAGTAGCATACAACACAACAGCATAGGTAAATATTCAATTGAAACTGTGGCACGTGATCCTAGACGTTTCTGAGATCTGATCAAACGCTGATTGGAAAAAACGTTTTCTGGAATTTCTGGGCCACTGGGGATGATGATGAGGGATATTTTTGGGACCCCTCGCAAAGGAAAGAAGATGAAGTTTGAGTACATCTGAGTCAACCTGAACGATTTTGAGTCATATCACTCAAAGTCTTCAACTATTTGACTATAGTTGTCTAGCAAGCATAACCCAACCAGGTAATCTTCATCGGCAAGCATAACTCAAACAGCAATGGTTATTGACCTCATGAATCGCC